TTATATAAATATTTTGTTGAGGAACAAAAAACTGATACCGGGCATGTACCAGTATTACATACTTACTCCGTACATTTACATCCGTATGTGACTACATGTACAATGTACAATGTACAAACACGTACATCCCTGCAAATGTTATTTCAAAAAGACATAGGCCTATCCTCTGTGCACTTTAAAATGTACATATACAAAAAAATACAAGGCTTGGATGTGGCTTGTATTTATATAATCCAGGTAACGAGTAACGCTGACGTTAAGCAAAACATTTCCCTAATATTTTTTTTCTGCATCGTTTCAACAAGAAAAAAAGAGACCGAACTGATCACGGTAATGGATTTCTGACAACCTGATATTAAATTTGCAGGGGAGCGATTTGTTTGCACTCACAACATGCACACCCTATCGCGGTCGGTCCTGAATTTAATTCCCCGACCAGCTAAAAGCATTCAGGCGATACTGGGTGCATGCATACGGCAGACGGCGAAACGGCAAAGACGGTAAATGGACGGATATTTGACGATGCTGGGAGACCACTCAGCATTTCCTTCCTAACGCGTTACCCTAATACTCCAGCACAACTAATCTCTAGCTGCCTGGATACGTGCAAATGTGTCTTTAAATTGCAATCAGTCTGGGAAAGGAGCCGGCGTCCTTTACCATGTTAACTCCAAAATCAACTCCAAGGTTTTGCATATTTACCAATAAAGTCAAATGGGGACACGTATTTTTTTTAACGGTGCACTGAACATAAATACTGTAGATACAAAAAAGTCACATCTTCAGGTACAAATGTATTTTTTATTTTTACTGCAATACATATGTACATTGTACACTGTACATCTACATGTACACGCACATGTACTGTAACATGCAATGATGTTTGCTTGTACATCTACACTGTATACATCGTCAGGTTGGCGTACATGTACATGTAACGGTACTTTCCTCTCCTTCCACCGCTGCAACCCGGGTTTGCATCCCGCCTTGGCCAACATGTAGACTCGGTTTTTAGTTCCTGCCTGATTCCGTGGGTTTTCCCCAGAATATTCTCCTGGGGTTTTCCTCCCACCTCTAAAACTGTAATTTCTGCTCACTGTCTTCTCTCTAGAGGTTTCTTCAGGCTTGCGAGCTACAGTGACTTGGGCGCTTTTGAGGAATCCTTGATTTCATTACCAAAAATACAAATGTAAATGATAATAATGATAATAATAATTGTTGACTGCGAAATTCAGCCTTGCCTGGAGGGAAATTTATACCAACAGGATGTTTTGTCCTGACTCTTTCGCAATCCAATATTGTCACATCGCATCATCTTGCGATATCACAATGTTTGTGTACATAAAATATTACAATGTGCTGCATATGGGGTCCACTTGCGCTTGCCACTTTGGCGCATAAAAAAATAAAATCAGGTGAGCTACATGTAAAAAGCGGCTCTGATAACTGATGCCCCATTTATGCAGCTCAAAATACCCTCACAAATTGTACAATATACGTGTGGCTCACACGAGAGGGCTGTCTGGTTAGGGTTAACCATCACTGACTGTTTGAACAGAGTTCTCGTCCGTGTGTTTGCTTTTCTTGTTGTCATCTCCTAATGGAGTCCGTTTGAAGATGACACCTCATCAACCAACCTGGCCAGCGCCTTGTTGAGAGAGCAGTGAACAATGAACTTCATAATTGGCGAAATTTATGCGGAACAGTCTTTGATGAGTGCAGAGTTTTTGCGTACATACTGAAACCAGAGTCAGGATCACGACTCATGGATCAAACTATGGATTTGGAGATGTTTATTTGGGGAATGTGCAAGAACAATATGGTTGTCAATAAAATAAATGTACATGTAGGTCTCATAATACAGATTTTTAAGCTCTGGCAACAGAGCTTCTTCAAGTCACTCCGGTGTTGGTCTGTAGGTCGGTCGGTCTGTCAGTCGGTCAGTCCGTCGGTCCCCCCAACAAATTGACCCAAAACGAACCCCCTAACTAACCCATAAACCTGTAAGTACCAAATTGTAACTGTCCCCCCAAAAAGCAAACAAAATACATCAAATACTTGACAAAAATTGTTTGCAAAAATTTGTGACATTGTTTATGAAATTGTTTGCATCCATAGAGGCAAGATAATGTGTGGTAGTGTTACAGTCATGTGGTGTTTTTGTGCGCTACGAATATAGGAAGTTAGCGGGCTTCTACACACCTGTGATTAGATAAATGATCCCTGCCTCTGGTCAGTTTAATGAGTCTCAAGGGCGTAGGAGTGAGGATACAGTTTCTTTATGAAGGTCACTATTATTTTTCATTGTGACTTTCAAGAAAATGGGAAATCTTTATTTCAATTGACAATCATGACCAAGTTAGTAATTATATAATTTTATGCAAGACGGCCAGAGCTCACTGTGCAGTTGCACTTGTTTTTTAAATATCTAAATGGCTAAAAGCCCTAAGATTTATATTACCATCCCCCCCCCCCCCTCCCCGGTAGTATGAAAAATTATATTAAGATGGGAGGTTTCAGGACTGTTAGGGTGAAAGTGAAAGAAAGTGTTTGCCAAACCAGTAACACTTTCATTTTTTGAGCATACTGAGCATTCACATAATTATTTTTAAACATTTATTGTGCACTCAAACTCAAAGTACAGCAAATATAAAGATGTGAACTCAGTCTTGTTGTACAGTGTTTGAACAGTGTACTGTCTTGCACTAGATGTATTGCACTTCTTTCTTCTTCTGTTTTCAGTAGATGGAAACAAAAATTGCTAATTGGATTGTCAATCACTGCAGCTGTTATGCATGCATGTCAAATTCAACGTACAAATTACGTCCCAACCAGCAAACATTCTGTTGTCAGGGCACTGGACTCAAATTATATTATGAACAGTCTTCACGCTTTCCACATGCATCACTGACAATGAAACGGTGAAGATAAGTTCTACCACTTTGCTCATTCGGATGTAAAATGTACCGTGTCACTGGCAACCATGTGTATTTTTACAGAGTACATGAATCTACAGTGCCACATGAAGCTAGAAAATAACCAAAAGGTCTATTTATTTAAAGGGGCACTAGGTCCTGAAATCCCCGAAAATGTTATGTTTTGGATTGTTTACTTAGCCTTTTTCAAACATCTGGTTGAAAGGAAACCAACCTAATGTCTTACCGTTCCCGAGAAAAGACGAAAAAAAACCTGCTTGTTTACATCGGACATGACGGAGTACGAATACGTTTTTCGTGTCGTTCTCATGTACGCTATACACGTTGGGAAAAGCGCGCGGTGACCAATCACCAATGCAAAAAAATTGTGGTTTCTTCAACGTCCGCAAAAGGCAAACACTTTACGCGTAAAAATGAAATCACAACTAGCATTCAAACAGCTCGAATTTATGGGGTCGCAAAAGTGGACCCCGAAATTCGTTCTCGCACGCATAATACAGGAATAACACAAAAACGCCCAGTTTTGAAAGAATAGTTGTGTGGATGTTTATATCCTACTTTTAAAAGTTATTTCCGATTTTCATCATCTCGTTCAAAACGAGTTGTGTAGTCCAATTGGGCTGTTCCAGGACCTAGTGTCCCTTTAACAGTTACTTGAGTTACTGTAATTGCAGATTTATGATTGATTATTCTTTAAAATGGTAGAATACCCTATTGATGTAAGAGCACTGAAATAATTTTCTATCAGCGCACAGTATGAGGAAACTATAAAATGCAAGGTAGCAACAGTTTTTTTATGTCCTTTTTGTCTACAGGTGCGACGCGAGTTACCAATTAAAAAGTTATTGCCAAACTGACAATATTATGTTGGCCTTTTCTGCAGTTTAATCAATTAATTTCAAGGGATATTATGTGAGAAAGATCCACCCTAAATGCTTGGAATTTATAGAACAACAGCACAGAGTTGACGGGAGACCCACTCCAATGGAACGCGCATTACCATGGAATTGCTCATTTAAATTAAGTTGGGAATAGGTCACAGGTCATATGGAAATGACTTGCCAGTCTGCGACTCTATACGAGAGACAAAGAGTTTGGACAAAAAGATTCACCCACAGCCACATTGTTCAGATTGTAAAGGAATTAACAAATAAATACATGCTTATCACTAATTTGTAAATAACCCGCCACTGTAAAAGGACGTAAATCATGACGAACTGCAATCACCCATAAACTGCCAGCAACGTCTTGAGATCTTGTAGTAGTTACTTATGCCATGTGCATGCTGCTGTTTTGCCTAATACACATGTATATTTTATAAGCAGCGCGCATTCAAAACCTTTCACATTATTTCCGCACCAAACTCTTAAATTTCTTCCAGTAGCATACAAAATTACCAGAGTTTTGTGCAACTTCATGTCAGATCTTTTGTGGTGCAAATGTACAGGTATGTGTGGGACTGAAAATGGATTTTCATTGCCTGCAGAAGTAATGTAGGAGCACTAGTTTCCCCCATTTTTTTTTTTTTTGGGGGGGGGGTCATTTTACAAGATTCCCAAGACGTTGTTCTTGGTGGTTCGTGGGTGACAGCGGTTCGTCGGGATAACGCCCTCCCATGGCGGCAGGTTATCGCAGCGGCGGGTTATGGCGTATCTACAAAGTCAACACTAAATTGGCCCCTGTAAAATCAAACAGTGTCCACAGGTAATTATTCAATAACTGCATGAGTGGAGCACCCAACTAATGAGAAGCCATTACCCATTACAAGATTGACCATGCGTGTAACATCAAATTTATGTATCTTTTTTTATGGCATACGGGTAGAGACAAATGTGTACACCTGTTCAGTGCACTTGATGTTGTTGAACCTGAATGATTCAAATACAGAGGACTGATTTTGCTGTACGTACTTGCACCCTTTAAGGAAGGGGGTTAAAAAAAAAATTTGAACAGGGAAAAGGGGAATCTTTGTTTCAATTTGATCTTTTTGCCATTATTGTTTCATTTGCTTTGGAAGTTTTTTTTCCAAATGAATAAAAAAAAAAGCTTGCAGAAAAGGCTTACCTCATAAAATTTATGAAGCCATCCCTGGAGCATAGTCTCAGGCTGTAAAAAAAATTAGCACAATCATTATTCAATAGATACCCTACATGTATAAATCAACTTTTGTTTACCTTTAAAGAGGTTGTGGAATGCTCAAAGACATTTCCATAATTTTTTGGGTATATGTAGCCTAAGGTGTGATGAAATAAAAACGACTATTGTTTCTGTCATGAAATGAGTACAAAGGGTGCTTTTGAGAGCTATTTTTCAGGTCCTGTTATGACCCGAACGTGCAATTTGTGTAAAAGTCGTCGTTGCGGGCAGCAAACAAAACACAGTAAATCGTGACGTAATAAACAGGACTCGTTTATGCTACTCTGCATCGGGAGTCCTGTTTATTACGTCACGATTTACTGTCTTTTGTTTGCTGCCCGCAACGACAACTTTTACACAAATTGCACGTTCGGGTCGAAACAGGCATGACAGGACTTGAAAAACAGCTCTCAAAAGTACCTTTTGTACTCATTTTATGACAGAAACAATAGTCGTTTTTAATTCATCACACCTTAGGCTACATATACCCGAAAAATGACGGAAATGTCTTTGAGCATTCCACAACCTCTTTAATGTACAACAAAAAAATGTCAAAACAAAACTCTAATGAATTGTTCCTTAACCATTTAACTCCTACATTTAACTCCTACAACTATTGGAAAATGGCCAATGGTAAAACATCCACAGTTGTCATTTACACATGTGGTACAGGTAATATTTCTTGCATCCTACACCATTTTCCAGGCCTACACAATCAACTACCCCCGGTACTCTACTGTCTATGGAAACATAAACAAAATACTCAGGAAGGAAATGTCATTTAAAAAAATACTACAACAATGACGCCCCCACCCCCTTTCCAGAAAACAGGAAATAAACAAATTAATTGAAAAATACTACAATGTAGCTACCGGTACTTTGAGTCCTACAACATTTCCTTTCCAGTTTGGAAAGAAGGTATTTTTTTCTCACTTCATTTTGGTATTTGTTATTTTTTCTAGAATATAATATAATAATGATTTAAGAAAATATTAATCCTTTATTTTGAAGAACTGTTTTAAAAACCCTGAAGCAATTCTAGAAAATAAAGCGATTTGTGGTTTTTTTTCAAAAACAGTTTTCACAGAAACTGAAAATTGTGCGCAAAATACTACATATCAGTTTCTATTTTAAGGTTTGTTGGGAAATTTCATAGAAACTAATCTAAAATAAGCTTCAATGATTACGACTTGTCATGTGGTGCCAAATAATTCCCAAGTGAAGACAGGTTATTTCAGGTTATTCTGTAAAAATGTATGTACAAATGTAGTTGGTAATCTATAGTTTCGTACACACATACACATACATTGTACAACACTTACATCTTCGAATATTGATCCAACATTGGCGGTGATCAACATCACCGATGGGAGACTCTCTGACGCCATGGTGACGTCTTTTCCCGTCTCCTTCAAAAGCTACTCAAAGCTCCAGCTGATGACACAGAGCAATTGCCTGGAGATGTTCTGCGACCCAGACGGCACTGAAAGTTGTTGTCCAAATCCTTGTGTAGTTGCCGAGCTACTATCAGAGTCGGCCTGTGTGTGTCACCAAGCTCCCTGGTACGACGGATCGATGTGATGTGGGATCTCCTTTCCACGTCTTCGTCTTTATGAAACCCCCCCAAAATCAGCAGACTAAAGCTGTCGGTTGCAAGTACTGCTTACTCTGCATTGGGAGTCGAGGTACCACGATGCCGCCCCAGCACACTTAATTCAATTGGATTATGGTGAATGGCACTGATTCGCTGAAACAGACTCATCAAATCATCTTGTCCAGTCTGGAGGCTTGCCGGGAGAGACTGGCTCCTTTGATTGCAAATCAGGTTTTAATCAACGATGTCACTGATCTGTGAGAGAGAACAGAATGCATCACTATTAACCCCATTATTCAATTCAATTCAATTCAAGAAGACATTTATTCCACACTCCTTTAGAAAATACATCCATAAATAACAGAAAGACTGGTAAATAGCAAAATAACAAAATCAATAAATTTGTCTCAAAAATAATAAAAGTAAAATGCGCTTAGAAGAAATGATAAACTTATTTCAATATATGTACAAGAGAAAGTAAGGAGTATGGGGCTGTTTAAGTAAGCCGAGGCTTGTACGAAACAGCCCTTACAGACAAACTAACAACAGAAAAACAACATGATAACGACACACGGGCGAGACAGACAAGACAAAAGACTTACACGACGATAGCTAACGGCAAAAAAAAACCCTCTGTACAACAAAACAAAACCTCTGTACAACATTTCCAATAATGTTAATCTTAAAAAACTTCTTTAAATGCTGTGATTCTTATTTCAAACATGTGTTTAAGCTTTCAAATTCTGGATCACTTGAACACACCAAGTCCTAGTCGGCTTTTACTCGAGGTACACAATGCTGTATCTTTACACTCCCCAAAAAACTTATTTCTTCTTTTTCCAATTTTTTTTCTTTTGTGTTTCCATAATGCCTACATTCGTCCAAATAATCTTAATTTATTCAGTGAATATTTTGTCAACAAGTACCTGTGCACTTCCATGAATGAAAATATAAAACGCTTTGTCGCATTTGTTGTAGTGCACGCGCTGTAAACATGTGCATACAGCACATACATATAACCCATACGTAATTTTTACTACTCAAACAACAAACATTTGTTTTTTGATTTCCGGACATTGACACGAAAGCATCTGTTGTAACTAGTACACATGGTAGGGTAACCTTTATCTACTGTTGTGATGTCACTGACATGTCATGAGTGAACTGAGTATCAACTGAGATACACAAACAGACTCCATCATAATCACAAAGTACATGTACTTGTAGCGAAGGCCGAAGGCCACAGAGACAATGTGTGTGTACACAGCACAAATTGTGAGGTACAATGTACGTAAGTTTAGATCTGTCATTGGGAACAGATGCAGCACAAATGCTTGTCAGAGGAAACAATCTTGGTGGAGAAATAGTTCAACAGATTGTACACATTGGCTAATGTCAAAATGTCAAAATGTCAACTAGATTATAGCACAGAGTGAGGTCCATACACTGTATGTGAAGTCAAAATAGGCACACATATGGCACCCTCTGGGCAAGGGTGTGTGGGCAGAGTGGCTTGATTGTATCCACGCCCACAAATTATTAGACCACAAAATTACTAGCGATAAAACACCCACTATGTACAGTACCATTTTGTGCAATCATTTGCAATGTTTGTGTAAAGTGCCATGAAATAGCCACTGTGGAAACTGGTTTGGCCTTTTTCATTTTCATCTTATTTCATTTCTTTTATGGGAGTACATGTAGACTTATTTTATGGGGTTAGGAGTATTTTACAGTATATACAGGGATCACAAGTCTGTGGACATCCCTTTTTATTGTATTTGTTGTAAGCACGGTAAGATAAAAAATAAATCACTGTCAACCCATTAACCTAAATTTGCAGATGAAATGGATCACACTAATGCACCATGCACAACAAAGCTTATTCCCATAAATGAAAAAGAAAATGAATTACCGGTAAGTGTCCACCCATTAACCCTAATGTGCAGGTGTAATGGATGACAATAATGGGCCATACACAACTATTCAAATTTGTCTTTTTTTATTTTATATCAATGAAAGAGAGAATGACTTACACACAAATTTCCATCCAGTCCATTTACTTACGAGATTTACAGACCTGTTCTATATATGTAGAACTAGGGTATCTTTATTTGCTTAAAACTGATAGATTATCTGTGCAAACTGCAGTGTATTAGTCTGCACATAACTGTTACATTCATTTCTCAATATTTTCGTTGTTCCAAACACTTAAAGGTAATGATCACCATTTGCAAAAACTGTGTTTTTTCTGATTCCAGGAACAGCACCAAAAAGTTCTTAAAGCAGATTTTTAAACGCTAACCTGTCAAAATTTCAGCCAAGTAGATACATGTACATGTATCATACTTTTTCAGAAAACTTTGACAATTCAACTTAGTTTTTCTTAACGCAAATCATCCGGACATGAAGTTTCCGAGAAGTGCCATTGTCTGGTCCTGACCATAGCGAGGAAATGATGGTACATTGTAATACCTCTTTCCTAAAAAATGACAGCATACCAGATGCAATGACTTCACAGGATACATGATCCTATTATTTACTTGAAAGTAGGATATTCCATGATTTTTTACTTTTCATTTTGGAATGTTTGCAAATGGTGTCCATTACCTTTACAACTGGTTTTGATTGGTCCCTACAATCTTGTACAATTTCATAGTACAGGATGTAAAAGTTGGTCTCCAAGAATACAAATTTGGGACTCACATCACAGTTAAAATTGACAAATATTTAACACAAACGCTTCATGAAGCAGCTAGTCAACACTAAAGAAACATTAGGCACATTCACTGAGCCAGTAAGCAAACGTCATTGCTCAGAGTGTATTGTACATGTAATGGAAATATTGTTTTTGGAATTTTTTTTTCTGTAAAGAAAATATGGGTTAATTTGCTTTCATTCTTTTTCAATACGATTTTTTTTATTTGTTCGTTGGCTTCTGTGAAACAGAAAATGAAATCAGAATAAAAAACCAAGGCTTTAGTACATTGTATCTGTATGTGTGCACCGTGTATTCATGTACATGCAGCCACACATGGATTTGTGATGGACCAACAGACAGAAGACTCGTGCAGTTTGGATAAAGTTGTTGATTACAACATTATTTTGTGGTTTAATTCATTAGTCACACTTTCGACAATTTGAATATCACATCTTTGTTGGCCTGGTAACAACCAGAAAATAGTAAGTTACATGTAGACCCAGTAACTGGAGTGCTAAAACTCTTTTTTTTTAAATTTTTGACTTTGGTCGGTCATGCTGAACAGGCAGTATGTGATGCTCCGTGAAAGTGACCAAATTCCATAATTTTTTTTATTTATTCCATCGATTTGCAGCTCAAAAAATATTATGATAACCACTGAAGCCCCAGTACAACATGTAGTTCGTATTTGACGCTTGCAGAAGCTAGGCGCTTGAATGTTTTTTTGTCAAGTTTTTGACATGATTTTGGCAACCTTTGATGGTGGATGTTTGTGAAAATACTGCAGTTTACACCTGGTCCCTTTCAGCAGGGGTGCTACTTTTAAGGCCAAACAAAATAATAATACATGTAGTTCTGCTTCCGGTTACCCTACCTACCCTTTTGACAGTGCCTACCCTAATTTTTTTTGGGGGGGGGGGGGGAGGAAAGGAGAAAAAAATGAGGAAAAATCCTGTTGCAACCTGACGCCACTTTTTTCTTCATACATGTACCGGTATATCAAAATTTTCGGACTACCGGTATATCATCTCAATGAAGGTCAGTCATTGCAAAAATGATGACAAGACATGAATCTGGGACTGAGAAACATTTCCAATTTTGTTAGGAAATACTTGGCGTCTGGTTGCAATTGCTACATTTTTTCCGACTACTTTTCTATGGATATAAAGAGGGTGAGTATGCTTATTAAGCGTAAACTACAAATATAGTCCAAATGTGAAAATCAAAATTTGACAAAGTTCTACATTTTCAGGTGCATGTTCCAACTTCCAAGTGTAGTCTTGATTTACGGAGGTAGGGCCTAGTCCAGTAAACTAAATTGTCCACATTTTTATGGGGCTAAAAAACAGACGTGAATCTGGGACCGAGTGAGAGTGAGAAACATTTCCAATTTTGTTGGGAAATTTTGTACACAACCGCTTAAGTGGTATAGTATCAGGATACAAAACTCCGTGCCTGAGTGAAGGCCGAGACTGTACTGAGAGTGAGAAGAGTGAGAGTCACTGAGCTGAGAGATCACACGGACATGACGGACGTACCGTGCGTGTGCATGCATCCCGTTGATCACCCCCGATTCTGGATGTAAAACCATTTTCGGTAAGGCCAGACAATCCAAAAGAACCAAAAGAATCCATAGAGTGCATACCTTATTAAAGATGAACAGCCATGCCAGCCAGCCAAGGAGAACGCAAGTGGAATTCCTCTGCAAATGATGCGATGTCAGTGAGTGGATGCGTCCAGCATACTGTACCTGTGTGTAATAAACCGCATTTTGTACACAAACGGGTTATATAGACTGGCCCGATAACCATCTCGTTTCGTCATAGTCACTGTAGACAGCTTGGGGTCGGGGAATAAGACTCTTATGACGTCAATCGCACAACTTGTCACGTTGACTGTTTGGTGAACTTTGCAATTATTTATTTTGGCCTGCATAAAATAGCCGTTGCGTGGGGATTTTGTATTTCGGTGATGTGTAATGCCGCCCTCTTTCATTTAAAACCTGTCATCCACAACTCCCTTCCATTTTAACAGAGAACGTTTCAATCAGATCAGATTTCCTATTGTTGGGAAATTTTCAATTTTTTTAATCCAGTTATTTTCTAAGCTCATCAGACTTGTTCTTTTATAAATGAAAACGGCCTCCCTTCTCCCCTCACAGCCGTCCTTTCCACACCATTTGTTTGTTTTTTTTTTATCAAGACTAGCGTTTAGGCCTAACTGGCACAACATAATATTGAATAGGTTTTCAATAGGCCTAGCTGATATTATAACAGTTTTAGACCTGGTTAAAATATTACATTACGCCTGCCAAATTTTGCATTGTATTAGGCCTATCTACGTATTATTAAATTTAGGCCTAACTAACGTACATAACCAAGATAAATTTCCCGTCTAGCCTATGTTCACTTTCTACAAACCAAAAACAAAGCGAGCCTTACCTCTCTAATTATCCAATTTGACGAAGAGATGAATATACCGACTTTTTGTCGTGCATCGTCCAACGACTTTTCGCTCTTAGCGTAGATTACATTTCTGTTTCCGTTTGAAAATATTCAATTCGATTTAATACGTCTTTGCTATTTTGTGGCATACAAATATTAAAAAAAAAGTTTCCTTAGTTAATCTCGATAACTATTATGTATTTGGTCATAATGGGTAATTCTAATAATCATCTTTAAAAGTAAGTTGGCCTATCTATTCCAAATACGTTTGTTAGTAGAATAAGACTCATACGTACCTTTTCTGGGTTTACAAAAATAAAATCATAGATAATTTTAACCTGTTTCAAAATGGAAATCAATAATCCCTTACATTAAAAATTGAATATCTGTAATATCTACAAATACTTCCCTTTTCAGCGACTTTAACCAGACAACCCGATTCATCAATCCTTTTTTATCATTTTGGAAAGCTATTATAGTAAAGTATGTTATTTTGCTTTGTTTGTTTTTTTATCAAGACTGGCTTTTAGGCCTAACTAGCACAACATAATATTGAATAAATTTAGGCCTAGCTGGCATTACAACAGTTTTAGACCTGGGTAAAATAATACATTATGCCTGCCAGGTTTTGCATCGTATTAGGTCTATCTATAAACGTACTATTAAATTTAGGCCCAATATATATTACCCATCTATGTTTACTTTCTACCAAAAACAAAGCGAGCTTTACCTTTCTTATCCAACTTGACAAAGAGATGAATATACACCGACTTTTTGTTGTGCATCGTCCAACGATTTTTGGCTCTTGGCGTAGATTACATTCCTGTTTCAAATTGCATTTGATACTCAATTCAATGAATTCATTAAATTTAGTATTCATCCGTCGTAGCTCGAATGTTTTCCAAAACATTGATCAATCACCTATGCATTTTCACTCGGTTGATATATTTTCATCGATATCTGTAGGCTATGGCTGATCAATGATCATTAATACAATATTATATGCATTAATTCATCAACAACTCACGAGCGATTATTGATTGTCCGGTCATTTTGCAATATTAATATCGGACCTTGAGTGGAGGTTTTTCAAATAAGTCGGGTTACCATTACCACTATATCGACACTTCGATTGTTACTATACTATTGACAATAAAACACGGCCTCCCATCTCCCCTTTCCATTTTCCTCACCATTAAAAACAAAATATTACAAAACTGAAGGCAACTGTTGTTCAAGTCCACCAATAATAGGACTTAATACTGCCACAAATCATGGGTTGGCATTTGCATTACAAAAGTTCACATGATTCACGACAATTCAATAAAAATAATTACTTTTGACGATTGGTATCAAAATTACCCTTAAAACAAAGTAGATCGCAACCAATTTTTGAAGATTACGAAAAAAATGAAGATTTTAACTTTGATCGAAGGTTTCGCGATCATTGAAGTCACCGTTAATTCTGTTCAGCGCTACTTAATTGAGGAGCAATTTGTGACTTTTATTATCTCGATAATTGACCCCAAAATAAAACTATGTAAAAATAGTGGACCTAAAAAACGGCCTCCCAACTCCCCTTTTAGCCGTCCTTTCCACACCATTAAAAACAGATACAATCAGACGTCGATAATATCAAACCATTTACTTTTTTGACAATTTACATTCTCTCGTAACCATTTGTAATCATCAATTTTTTTTTCTTTTACGGAAATCAGTCGCTACATTTCTAAATTGCATATTTTATTTTTTTCAATTTTACAAATTATGTCGTTGCCCATCGACCGATAAACCCTCCGTGGTCGATCTTGAATCATTTATATATTTTCGTTACATTTTTTTTTTGGGGGGGGGGTTGTTTAATTTTAGTTTCTTGTACTCGCTCGTTGAATTAACCATTCGTGAACAGTCACTGAAAATGTTATTACAATTTAATCCACTCGTCACTCTTTCGATCGTTCAATTTTGATAACTGAAGTTATCAAGTGTCAAATATTTTCTCAATTATGGAGACACTTTTTATTACTACACAGCATTGCTTAATTAATGCAATTAAAACAAAAGAAAGTAGATATAGCTAGCAGTGGGAATGGGTTAATGTATGTTCGACAAATATCCACGTAAAAAGTGGATTTTACCATTCCGAGACAACATATTGCCACGAGTCCTCCTTATTGGCAACTGACGAGGCAACAAAAGACATGAGCCTAACAATCGAATCAACCGTTCTTTGCTCTTTAAGCCACCTAAACAAAAAATTGCGCAGATTTGTTGAGTGAAATGTAATACCAATGTCACATTTAAAACTGTTGTATGCGACTCCAAAACAATAAATCTCTGTCTATCAGCTTATAACGGTGAGTCTCCATGTAGCCGATACCTCTGGTCGAGTGAGGTGTGGGTCCTCCTTTCTTGAGATAGGTTCAGCTATCTGCACCGTATCTTGTCCATGTAACCTTCAAACGCTCAGTGCTGGTGGATCAAATGCGATATTCTTCGAGAGGAGAATTACAATGTTCGTTTTCCGTAAGTTCAGGCAGAATACGATGAAGATTTTCCACAAAAGTACAAGGTGAGGCAACCCTGAGATGTTATCATGTCTGACGTGAATGTCTTGAAGGACTATTCTGTCAACGCTTCGTTATTAAGACTTGCATTGTTAATCCACTGTCGTGTAAAAGTTCGTGGAATAGGTGCCTTGGTTGAAGCTCAACTTCGTCGTTTATGAATAATTAATTCCTTGGCATCATTCTTGGAAGACGACATTACTTGATCCATGGGCATCATTCTATGAAGATCTCCAACGTGTGGTCGCTGTTTGAGTAATTCATCACGAATTTCTTGAAAAATGCCCTTTAATCCACGTCAGTAAAATTACTTGACCAATTGATGCGACGTCAGAAAGATCCCGATGCGTGCAGATGTCTGAAGGAGAAACAGTTTCTTTCCTCGTTACAGATGCGCCTGCATGTGATGAAGAAATCTTGTTCTACACCGTGACACCAAGACTGAAGGACCAGGACATGCGATTTAAACTAAAATCCCAACCCACTCATTCATGTAATAAAAAAGATAATCATTCAAATTAATTAATTGATCGATTTGTTTACTGTTTTCATTATCATGTATTTAACGTTGATGTTAGCTTAGTTATTTTGAACTTGTTTATCTTAATCAAGAATACCTATTGATTTATTTATTCATTCGTGTTTTAATCATTTGCCCCCACCCCTTTGCCTTTCGAATCCCCCTTCCTAGGCTGCGCTTGGCGCATATCGCTTGCTTGGATGCCGCAGCAGCTGCTGCGGCAGCGCTACTCCGTCACCACAACATTCTCATTCGTCAATTTCAACTCATCAACCTGAACAAACTCACCATTTGATATGTAATGGTATAACATATCAAATCTCACATTATCCAAGACGGAAACATAAAGGATCGACCGTTAAACCGTACCGATAAACCGCGATGATACTCGTACCGATACAGCAGTCCGGTTTCCGTCTTAACACTCATCCATCTAACATCCTTGCATCATCATCACCGCACGCACCAGCAACACACCATCATCACACTCAATCATCCTTTTGCGTGCTCAAAGCTCATGCGTGCTAAGCATTTTGCGTTGCTGCGAGCATTTTGCCTTATTTTCAACCCCCCCCCCCCACAAATTGATAATCGTTATTTCATTAAATTTAATGACTTATTTTAATTGTTTCTTTATCATAAATTTTCTTTTTTTTATGATTTAATGATAAAACAAAATTTCCCGACTAGTTGCAGACAAACAAAATCAACCCCAAAACAAAAGCCCATTCCACACCAAACTCTTAATATCACTCGAAGAACCAATTACACAAAGTAGCTGCCTCTTGATCTTTGATGAGAGACTCCTTGTGAATCTTGCCTGAGATTGCTGACGATTTCTTGATTACAGAACTGTTGAAATTGTTGAAGATGAAGAAGAGCTACTCGCCCGGGGTGATTTCAGATGCGAAGAAAACATTTTATCCTTGCCATTTCGTTTTTGTTGAAGTAGGAAGTTGTTGATTAATCATCTTTCATTTATCGAAGAAGAAAGCGATGCGAAGTCAAGCTTAGATAAGAATTTTCCTGGTTCTTGATTGCTTTTAGGGTATCAGTTCGTGAAGAATTACTTCCACTTCTTGAAGTCTGACAAGTTTTGTGGCGACTGTATTCTTGTGAATCCTATAACTGATGGTGAAGGTCTAAATATTGGTGTTTTGTGGGCATCCAGGGCGTTTCAGAAATGTTAACATGGAGAATTGCAGAAAGACATATTCTATGTCCCGCACAATTATGAAGAATATTCTGAGTGTGCTCAAGCGAA